AGATATGTTGAATAACTTGCTCAGGATCAAATCTGCTTAAAAGTTGTGTTATTTAAACTCAACTTCTGACTCTTAAGTCCAGTGCTCTTTCCCTTCTCCCACAATGCCTTTCATCAACATTGTACTGTTCCAAATGGATGCACTCCCCATATATTATTAAAGATCAATCTCCTTTCAGTGTCATAGATAGGGGATGAATTTTTTTTTATTTAATATATAATTATAAATTCATTTTTAAAAATTTTGAATTCCAAATTCTCTCCTCCACAAACTCTCCCACATCCATTGAGAAGGCAAGGAGTATATCAGTTATTTATATGAATTGATGCAAAATATTTCCATATTCACCATGTTTTTCCTACCCCCACCCAGAAGAGCAAGAATAATTAAGTGAAAAGTGTATGCTTCAATCTTATTCAGAGTTCATCAGTTCTCTCTAGAGGTGGATTTTTCATCGTGAGTACTTTGGAATATCTTGGATCATTTTTTTAGTTAGAGTGACCAAGTCTTTCACAGTTGATCATCACTACAGTATTGCTGTTACTGTGTTCTCCTGATTCTACTCACTTTGCTTTGCATCAATTCATATAAGTATTTCCAACATTTTCTGAAAGCATCCCACTCATGATTTCTTATAGCACAATAGTATTTCATCACAGTCATGTACCACTATTTGTTCAGTTGATGGGAATGCCCTAAATTAACAATTTTTTGCCACCACAAAAAGAACTGCTATAAATATGTTTGTACTCATAGATCCTTTCCCTTTTTTTTTTTTAAATCTCTTTGGGATACACACCTAGGAGTGCTATGCTGGAAGAAAGGATATGCACGGTTTTATAGCCCTTTGGCCGTAGTTCCAAGGCGCTCTCCAGATTGGTTGGAGCAGTTCACAACTCCACCAAACAGTACTTTAGTGTCCCAGTTTTCCCACTTCCCCTCTAATATTTATCATTTTCCTTTCCTGACATATTAGTCAATCTAATAGGTGAGGTGGTACCTCAGGGTTGTTTTGATTTGCATTTCTCTAATCAATAGTAATTTAGAGCATTTTTTTATTTAACTATGGATAGCTTGGATTTCTTCTTCTGAAAACTGCCTGTTCATATCTTTTGATCATTTATCAATTAGGGAATAACTTGTATTCTTATAAACTTGACCCAGTTCTCTATATGTTCGAGAAATAAGGCCTTTATCAGTAACATTTGCTGTAAAACTTTTTCCCCAATTTTTTTCTTTCCTTCTAATTTTGGCTGCATTGGTTTTGCTTGTGTTGTGCAAACCATTTTTAATTTAATGTAATCAGAATTATCCATTTTACATCCTGTAATGCTCTCTGTCTTTTGTTTGGTCATAAATTTTTCCGTTATCCATAGATCTGACAGGTAAGCTATTCCATGCTCCCCTAATTTGCCCAGGGTATTAACCTTTATGTCTGAATTGTTGAGATGAATGAAAAGCCCCAAGAGACAGTTTCTTGGTAATTAATAATCAATTTATTAATTAGGGTAGCAAATAAATTGATGGTCAGTGTTTTCTCTCTGTAACCAAAGACAAGAGACCATGAAGATCATCAGATGCTTAAATACTTTTAGAAAAGTGGGTGCCCCTGACAAGTGGGAAGTAGCCCTAATTAGTGAACAATCAATTTGTGGATGGACATATTAATGAGTGAGTGGGTCAAAAGTCTTCAGCTCCTCCTGCTCAGAACTTGACTTGATCATGAGACTTGACAAAAGAATCCACCTCCACGTAGACCACTTCAGTTGAGCAAGTGGGGAGGGGGGGGGGGCAGGTTTCAATGTTTTTTACACCTAGAATTCACCTAGATTAGATTCTCTTTACACTTTAATCAGAAATAAGCTCTCCCAGTTGGGTGGGATCCTGCTCAAGATTGAGGAGAATTGGGGGCAGGCCTGGAGTCAGGAGGACCTGAGTTCAAACCCAGCCTCAGACACATAACACTCACTAGCTATGTGACTCTGGGCAAACCCCTTAACCACAATTGCCTCACAAAAATTAAAAAAAAAAAGATTGAGAAGAATTGTTCCTAGAGGATTAGGCCAGTCTCATCACTAGTGCTTTCCTTCCGAGACTGTCTGACTTCTACTGCTAGTCTCTGAATGAGGAAGTAAAAAGAGAAAAAAAAAACCTACTTATAATTAGTCTACTAATAATTGGTTATTAATAATAGAAAAAAAAATTCTCTCATCATGTACCCATTTTGACGCTGTCTTGGTATATGGTATGCAATGTTAGTCTCTACCTAGTTTTTGCCAAACTGTTTTCCAATTTCCCTAGCAATTTTTGTCAAATTGTGAGTTCTTGTTAAAAAAAACTAGGATCTTTATATTTATCGTACTAGATTACTGTGATCATTTACAACTATGTATTGTGTACCTAATCTATTCCATTGATCCACTCCTCTATCTCTTAGCCAGTGCGAGATTGTTTTGGTGATAACCACTTTATAATACAGTTTGAGATTTGGTACATCTAGGCCACCTTCCTTCCCATTTTTTTCATTGATTCCCTTGATATTCTTAATCTTTTGTTCTTCCAGATGGATTTTGGTTTTCTTTTTTTCTAGTATTACAAAATAATTTTTAGTAGTTTGATCGGTATGGCACTGAAGAAATACATTAATTTAGGTAAAATTGTCATTTTTATTATATTAGCCAGGCCTACCCATGAGCAATTAATGTTGTTCACATCTGACTTTATTTGTGTGAAAACTGCTTTGTAATTGTGTTCCTGTACTTTCTGGGTTTGTCTTGGCTGGTAGACTCCCAAGTATTTTATATTATCTACACTTTCTGTAAATGGAGTTTCTCTATCTCTTGCTGCTGGAATTTGTTGGTAATGTGTAGAAATACTGATAATTTATGTGGATTTATTTTATATCTTATAACTTTGATAAAGTTATTAATTAAGCTAGTTTTTTAGTTGATTCTCCAGAATTCTCTAAGCATATCATCCTGTCATCTACAAAGAGTAATTGTTTTGTTTCCTCATTGCCTATTCAGATTCCTTCCATTTCCTTTTCTTCTCTTATTGCTATAGATAGCATTTCTAGTACAATATTGAATAACATGGTAATAATGAGCCTCCTTGCTACATACCTGATCTTCATGGGAAGTTTTCTAGCTTGTCATCATTACCTTATGCTTGCTGATGGTTTTAGATAAATACTACTTATTTTAAGGAATGTTCCATTTATTCTTATGCTTTCTAGTGTTTTTAATAGGAATAAGTGTTGTATTTTCTCCAAAGCTTTTTCTGCATCTATTGAGAAATTCGTTTTATTTTTGTTGGTTTTGTTATTAATATGGTCAGTTATGCTGACAAGCTCTCTATTTCTTAACCAGTGCAAAATTGTTTTGATAATTACAACTTTGAAGTAACAGTTTCAGATCTGATATTGTTGGTCCCTAACCTTCCCATTTTTTTTTCAATGATTCAGTTGATGCTCTTGACCTTTTCCTCCACATGAATTTTGTTAATATTTTTTTCAAGATTTGCAAAGTAATTCTTGGTATTTTAGTTAGTGTGGCATTGAATGAAATTAATTTAGATAGTATTGCCATTTTTACTACATTAGCACAGTCTACACATGAGCAATTGATATTTCTCCAATTATTTACATGTCTTTATGTGAAGAATATTTTGTAATTGTATTCAGATAGCTCTTCTGTATGTCTTGGCAGATATGCTTTTATATATGTTGTACTATATCTATAATCATTTTAAATGGAGTTTCATTTCTTATTTCTTCCTAATACACAGAAATGCTGAAGATTTGCGTTAGTTTATTTTATATCCTAAAACTTTGCTGAATTTGTTAATGTTTTGGTTTTTTTAGGGGGTATGGTGGTAAGCAGTGGGGTTAAGTGACTTGCCCAGGGTCACACAGCTAGTGAGGGTCTTTTGAACTCAAGTCCTCCTCACTCCGGGGCCAGTGCTGTATCCACTGCACCACCTAGCTGCCCCCTGTTAACCATTTTGATTAGTTTTTTAGCTGATTCTCTAGGGTTCTGATTCTCTAAGTAAACCATGGCATCATCTGCAAAAAGTAATAGTTTTGCTTCCTCTTTGCCAGTTTTTCTTTTCTTTTCTTGTTCTATTGCTATAGCTAGCATTTCTGGTATAATACCAAATAGTAATTGTAATAATGGATATCCTTTTCACCTCTAATCTTCTTGAAAAGGCTTCTAGTTCTCCTTGTTACAGATTCTATCCCTTGTTTCTGGGTGGGAGTTTTATTAGATTGCTGCTTGACTTAGCCGCTGTTAATTTGCTCACTAGGATGCTCTGTAGGTTCAAAGCAGCTGAACTGCTGGCTTGCCTTTTGGTTTGGAAAGCTACTCTCTGCTTCTAGCGTCAGAACTGCCTTTGTGAATATTATTTGCTTCCTGGAACTTGTTCTGTGCTTAGTACGTAAATAAAGTCATTGCTCACAATTGCTTTTCCCCCTCCCAGAAGCATTAAACAGAACTGGGCAGTGAGCACCAGAGCTACCCAATGACACCCATTCCTGTACCCATTGCTTGCTCAAAGTTCTGTTTCTGCCCCTGTGCTTCTTGCCCTGGTGTCCTGCTTTAGCCTTCTTTCTCTGTCATGCTGTACATCTTCTTAGCTACATCCCATTCCCCATTATCCATGGACATCTCTGTCCATCTCCCTAAATTGTTGTGAATTCAAAAAGTGACTCTTTTTGACATCTTATTGGCTTTCCCAGTCAGAATTTGGTCTGGTACTTTCTGTAGAGCTTTGTGAAGGGGGGGCAGGGAGGCAAGTTAGATTCGAATGCTTCTTCTTGCTCTGCCATCTTGATTCTCTCTCACTGTGCTGTCTTTACTCTCCTGTATGCTGTTGAAAGGTGTTATATTTATTTATATTTCAGATCAGAACAATAATTGAATTAGAAGTGATGCTAGTGAATTTACTCTCCTACAGTTTTTACTCCTAACCATATTTTTAAATGTGTTTCGTCTTTCTAGGTTTATCGACAAGACTGTGAAACTTTTGGGATGGTTGTAAAAATGCTGATTGATAAAGATCCTTCATTAGAAAAGTCTGTGCAGTTCGCTTTGAGGCAGAATTTACATGAAATAGGTGAGCGATGCATTGAAGAACTGAAGCATTTCATTACAGAATATGATGCTGCCAATCAAGAATTTGGGGAGCCTTTCTAAGATTACATGCTGAGGCAAAAGATAATGTACTTCTTTGTTGTTTTTTTTCTGGATTATATAGATCCTTAATATATGGAATACTTTTATAGGTACTTAGGAAGATATTTTAGTATACTTAGCCACACATTTAGATATCTTTATCATTATTATATTGAAAGAATATCTAAAAATCTTTTTATTAGCACTGAGCAAAGGTTCTTGATCTATAACTTAACATAAGCTTTTTTTGTAGGATGAAGAGTGTCAGTTCTTTTTTTCCAGTATGCCTATTTGCAAAAAAATATGTCCTAGAGGTTAGTTTTCTACAATTGTTTGTCTCCAGTCTCAGACAGTATACAATCATATGCTTTGTCATACGAATTTAAACTTAGTTTACCAATTAGATATTACTTTGAAATCATTTTTTTCCAAGTCATTGAAAACCCTTTGAATTTCCACATGACCTGCATTTCAAAAGTTCTATGACTTGATGTCATGGTTTTATTGCTTGACTTGTTTCTTAAGCCTTCAAACTTTTACAACCTTAAACATTCTAATAATCTACTTTCTACGTTAGCTGACTGCTTGAAGTTATCACAGTTTAAATGTACTAATTTGATTGTGTAAAAATTGCTTTAAAAAATCCTAAAGCTCCAATAAGTTCTACATCCAAGAATGTAGGATTTTCAATATTAAAAGATTTTCCACAAATTTTATAGGCCTAGAAAGAATTCTTTATCAACATGAGAAACAATAGATTTTTTTTTTCCACATAGGTCTTTATTTCAGAGTTTATCAGTTTGTCTTTTGTTCTGTGGATCATTAGGAAACTAACAGATCGTACAAGTGATTTCAGCTTAAAGGTTTGTTTATTTAGGGACTCCCAGGACCATGGATATTCTGCCAATTTTTGAGGTTAGGTGTGGCAGATTTATTTTTTCTTTTTGTTACATTAATAAGTCACAGAGTTTCAAATCATGTTATTATTACTGCCTGCTTTCCTTATCTGTCCAATGTCTCTTCTCTAACCTGAATTCTGCCATCATTTTTAGTGGCTTATTTTGATAATGTTTTGAAGGCTTCCAAATAGTAGGGACCAAAATTATGTTAAATGTTCATTTCCAGCTAGCCATTTATTTAAAAATCATGCTAGAATGGAAATAAGGAAACAGTGTAATTGGTACTGGATATGATGAGTACCACACCTGAAAATTGAAAGAGTAAGAGAAAGATGTAATTCCAAATCATCCCCAACCTCAGCCTTGCCAAATTAGGCCACTTTGAGTCATAATTTTTGATACTTAGTATCACAGTTTCTTAACCATAAACTAGAAGTAATCCTTATCCATCATCCTTGATATTCTTCTCCAATTGTCTGAGACTAATTTGTTGGCTACCTAGCCTAGAGAAAACTAAGGCAACAGTAGTTTTATTATTCAATTCTCTGTTTCCTTTTTCTTTCATTCAATTTTATTAAGTAATATCACTTCCTGAATAAAAAGTGAGAAAATATAGAGATACCAAAAACAATGAACAATTTTTTTGTTGAGCATCATTAAAAATAATTTTACTAAGTTAAAGTCTATCAGCTAACCAGTTAAATATAGTTTTGTTCTTCCTGTCCTCAAAACATTGTGTTTAGTAGCTAAAGGTTTTTTGTGGTTAGCCATCAATAATATTTTTGGTAGGGATATCTGTTAATTATAGAAAAAAAGGTAGACTTTAAAGAGTAACTTTGCAGCATGTAAATTCAAATGTGAACTAGAGTGGTTTATGTTGTAAGTTCTCCTTCTTAAAATGTTTTTATTAGAATTACCCATTATTTTCTGCAGAATATCCCCAGGTAATGTGCTGTACTTTCAGTATGTCTTCTTAAAGTCTTGCTGTGCATGTAGTTGAAATTCAAAGGGAAAATGGAGTTTTGTGACGCCTACTTGTATAAACTTTAAAAAAAATAAATAAAACAACCAGTTTGAAATCATTGGATTGTCTTTTATTGTAGCAATCTTCATTTCATTGTGTCATTAAAATGAAAAATTCATTTCACGTTAATACAGATATAACTTGGCACTACCTTAACCACCAAACCCACAGGGGGATTGTCCCTTATGGTCTCATGGGTTATCATATTCCATCATGGAGTTTACCAGAATCTGAGGAATCTACAGTGAAACTTATTATCCCTCCCTCTGAACTATTTCTGCCCATGTTTCTACTATTTAATTTACTATTTATGATTTACTCTAGCTCTGAACTTTGTTGTCACTCATAACTTTCCTTTATCCATATTCTAGTTACTTTTCCGTGGAAATCTCCCTCCATACTGTAACATACAAGTTTTTCCCTTCCACCCCCATTTTCTCTCAGCTGAAGACCTCTCCTCTTTGCTGAGAAAATTAAGTTCATTAAACATAAATTCCCTCTTTACCCCTTCATCTCAAAAGCCTTTGACATTATCTCCTTTCTCTCACTCTTTGACTGTAAGGTGCCCCATCTCCTTGCCAAGATCTACCCTTTTTACATATGCTCTCTTGATCTTTGATCTTTCTGTATTCTTCAACAGTTTGCAGCTTTAATTCTTCCTTTCTATCAACTATTTCCAGCCTCTCAATATTTACTAGCTCCTTCCCTACCACCTTTAACCATGTACCAGTCTCCTCCATCCTCAAAAAACCTTTCATAGATGATATCATCCACTCTAGATAGATAGATAGATAGATAGATGGATAGATGTGGCAAGACACATCAATCAAGCAGTGAGGTTGAACAGGTGTAATGGCAGTAGTGAGATGTAACAGCAGCAGTGAAGTGAAATGGCAGCAACATGCCAAGTTTGCCTAATGACAAGAAGACTATTCCTAGCAAGACCAGGATGGGGTTCCTGCAGGTGTTTGTCCAAGCTCAGGGACCACTTAGGGCTGGTTTGACTCAGTTCTGTGGTTTAATTGTAGCAGAGTTCATCTAAATGTTAAGAGCAAAGAACTATGGTTATGCCAAGCTCAGGGCACAGCTTATTTGCTGGGCTTTAGATCTGGAAAATAAGGTGAGTCCTAGTAGTAAGAAAAGGGGAGTGGAAAGACAAGTGGTCTTGGCATGGGCCTTCTGCTATTTCCCCCTTTTGTTCAAGGGAAGAGGTCTAAAAGAAACCTTTTCCTTCTAACCAAGAAAGGAGCTTCTTCCATTATGTCTGAGAGGAATTGTAGTACAGAAAACCACTTCCACCGATCTTTAACAGACAACTGATGGGAATAGGAGGGACATCAGAGACAAGAAGATGGTGACACCCACTAGAGGAAGAAAAAACCAGAGGCATGCCATTGTTGGTACACAAAATTAGTGAACCAATAAAGAAGTAGAGGGCCAAACAAGAGGAGGTGTAAAATGAATAGCAACAAGGAGAAGAGTGAGTATGACCAGATTCCTGGCAGGAGAAAACCTTTGATGGAATTCCAGATATTAAAAGGCCATTTCTTCTGTCTGAGACCATGAAGCCACTGGGCCTGATTGTAGATTTTCAGGATATTAGTCTTAATCTGGCCAGTGGCATTGATTTAAGTGCAGCAGGAGGTGTTGGTGACAGCACATATTACCAAAGAGGTAATCAGTGGCTAGTCAGTGATTCAGACCTCATCCAGAATCTTGTCTGGATATCAGCTACTTCTAGGTCCGTGGTAGATGAACCTTGAAGTCCCTGGTGGGTTCCACCATGCATTCAGGAGTGGAGGCTTTTTTTCATGTGGAAGAGATGGATCTAGTTTTCCACCCTTGCAAGACTAGCTTAAAACCTTGCAATAAGGTTTTTCTCCTAATTCCCACAATTGAATAGTTTTCTTACATGAAAGAAGTTGGACTAGACCCATAAGTGAACAGAAACTAAGCTAGCTCTAGGATTGAGTCACAAGATGAAGTCAGTGTGGTTCACTCAGTTTCCACAATTAACCACTTGCTGTCCCAATCCCTTCAATTCACTCAATTTTCCCCTTTTTGCCCTTATAGGGGAATGGGCAACCCACTCTCTCCACAGATCACTTACCTATGAACCATAATTACATGAAGCCAGGTTACAGATCAAACTACTTAGAGGGCTCACAATAGACTAGTTTTGAGAAGGGAGATTCACATGTCACTTGGTCACATGTAACCAAGTAAACTTAAAACATAAACATCATGAAACAGGAGACCAAAGCAATACAGTAATTATCAGTATTAACTAATGTCAAGTCTCTTTTTGTCTTAGTAACTCATTCTCACACATTTTCCATTTAATCAGCACATCTTGAGTTCCCAATGTCTCATGTGGTTGTATAGTCGCCTAGATATTTTCTCTTGGACGGTAGGCTTCATTCTCAGGGGAGCTCTGATAGCGCTTCTCTGGTTCCAAATCTAGAGGTTCCTAGATAATTTTGTAAGTAATAAGACAATACAATTTAGTACAAGGGCAAGGTGTATCAACCAACGAGATTTTTTATTTTTAGTACTGTCTGAGTATGAAGCAGTGTAAAATTAAAGCCCTAGAAGGGGGCATCATGGATTATGAGGAAGATCTGAGGTCCACTTCATTAGAAGGGGCCATGGGCCCTTTAATAAAATGCCATTAACTCAGAGCTCTGCTTCAGTTTCTTTTATTTTAGGTTGGACAATTTTGGACTCCACATGGCTCATTGTTAGATCCTGAGTTTTCCATGGTAGTTTACCACTACAGAGGTACCTGTTGCAAAGAAGTCAAGAGGGAGGAGGAGCTAAGATAGCAGAGTAAAGCAGAGACTCACCTGAGCTCTCCCCCAAAATCCTCCAAATAGCTTTTAAAAATTACTCTAAACAAATTCTAGAGCAGCAGAACCCACAAAAAGATGGATTGAAAAAAATTTCCAGCCCGAGACAAGTTGAAAGGTCAGCAAGAAAAATCTGTTGTATCAGGGTGAGAGGCGCATGGTCCAGCCTGAGCTGGGACCCAGGTCTACAAACCTGGAGCAAGCCTGAGGCAACTGAATCACTGGTTGCAATGAGTTTCCAGACCTCTCAGCCCACAGATGCCAAAGACAACTTGGAAGGTCAGCAGGAAGGGGCTGTTGTACCTGGCTTACAGTGGAGCGCAATCCATTGCAGGCGCACCAGCACAGCCCCAGTCCTAGCAAACCAGGAGCAAGCCTTGGGAGCTACTGAATCAGCAGCAGCAGCGGCGGCTGCTTCCAAAGCTCTCAACACACAGATGGCAAGAGGGGTCAAACAACTCATCAGAAGGAGATTACAGGGCTCTTTTTGCTAGCACTGAGGCAAGACTCTGTTGCTTTGCCCACACTCAGATCCAGGTACCAGTCCTGGGTGGCCATCCGAGGGTGACAAGGAGCACTAGCATAGCAGAGCTTGTGGCCACAGTGAATGGGGACCCCTCTTCACAGTTCCAGGGCAGAAAACAGTGCTGCTCACAGACCAGAGCACAGGCCACCTTGGAAGAACTGAAAACTTACAGGTCCCTAGAAGTATCTCTGAAAAGAGCTGGACAAAACCCCTGAAACTTGGGACAGTGCACTCTCCACCCTGGAAGCAGAGCCCTACTTTAACAAACAGAAGTCAACTAATAGGCTGGGGAAATAACCAAACAACAGAAAGAAGAAGAAGAAAAAAAAAGAACTGAATATAAAAAGTTGTGGTGACAAGGTAGATCAAAACACACACTCAGAAGATAGCCAAGTCAAAGCTCCTATATCCAAAGTCTCCAAGAAAAATGAGTTGGTCTCAGGCCATGGAAGAGCTCAAAAAGGATTTGGAAAATCAAGTAAGAGAGGTAGAGGAACAATTGGGAAGACAAATAAGAGTGGTGCAAGAAAATTATGAAAAATGAGTCAATCACTTGGTAAAAGAGACACAAAAAAATACTGAGGAAAATCAAATCTTAAAAAACTGATTATGCCAAATGATAAAAAGCCAATGAGGAGAAGAATGCCTTAAAAAGCGGAATTGGCCAGATGGAAAAGAAGGTCCAAAAGCTTACTGAAGAAAATAATTCCTTAAAAATTAGAGTGGAGGAAATGGAAGCTAGTGACTATGAGAAATCAAGAAGCAATCAAACAAATCACTTTTGAGGAGGGACAAGGTGAAAGAGAGAAAATAGAATAAACAGATGGGGGAATAGGATGGAGAGAAATACAGTTAGCAGTAGTAACTGAAAAAAATTTGAAGTAAGTTTTTTCATTTTGATTTTTTGTTTTTTAATTTTTTTAATTTATTTTGATTTATCAATAATCACTTCCATATGCTTTTGAGTTTAAATTTTTTCTCTCCCTTCCTCCCTACCACCCTCCCCAAGAACGGTGCACAATCTGATATAAGCTATACATTTACATTCCTATTAAACATATTTAAGTTTTTCTGATAAGGCCTCATTTCTCAAACATAGAGAGAACTGAGTCACATTTATAAAAATAAGAGCCATTCTCCAATTGATAAATTATCAAAAGATGTGATCAGTTTTCAGATGAAGTAATCAAAGCTATCTATAGCCATATTTAAAAAAATACTGTAAGTCACTATTGATTAGAGAAATGCAAATCAAAACAATTCTGAAGTACTACCTCATACCTATTAGATTGACTAATAGGACAGAAAAGATAAATGACATGTTGGAGGGGATGTGGAAAAAAATGATGCATTGTTGGTGGAGTTGTGAACAGATTCAACCATTCTGTAGAGCGATTTGGAACTATGCCCAAAGGGCTATAAAACCATGCATACCCTTTGACTTAGCAATACCACTGCTTGGTCTGTATCCCAAAAGAGATTAAAAAAAAAAAAAGAAGGGTGCAGCTAGGTGGTACAGTGGTTAGAGCACCAGCCCTGGATTCAGGAGTACCTGAGTTCAAATCTGGCCTCAGACACATAACACTTACTAGCTGTGTGACCCTGGGCAAGTCACTTAACCCCATTGCCTATACAAAAATAAGTAAATAAATAAATGAAATGTTTTTTAAAAAAAGGAAAAAG